CACTCGCCTCTCCTTTTGGTACTATGTCATTGTAACGCCCCTACCTGCTGTAATACAGTACTTAGTTTATGTCCACCAGGGCTGGAATCGGGAGAAGGCTCAAATTAAAGTTCTCGACACATTTGTTTTTATAGAAAAATATGGGATATCACCAGTCGGCAGCTCTAGGAGTAACATTACCTCACGCTCACGTGCATCTTTCTAGGAACCTATTGAACTTTATTTTGAATTCACACCTCCCCGCAAAACCCTTATCAATCAATTTGAGCCAGAAGAGTCGCATGGAAGGAGCTCGGCTCTGTCAGTTACCAATGGTGTTGTTGTTTTTGTTTCCTATATATTTTTATAAATCAAAGATCCAATAGATGCTGTTTGATTAATCGACTACAGGCACAACGAAGAGCTCTAATAACCTCAACAATTCCACTCCTACAAACAAGCAGACGGAAAATATATCATAAACATCGTAGTCTTGAATTCTAAAGCTTTAGATTCTTGGTCGTCTCAAATTATCACTTCTTTAAAGCCATTTATTTATAAAGAACTATTCTTGTTAGTCTACCAGAAAATATCAATGAGGTAGGTAACTTAAGGTCTAGGAAAATAGCCATTATTTATTCATGTTTACTTCCATGAAAAAAACAGAGAGGGTAAACAGTAACCGTTATTTACGAAACAAAAATCTCTTGACTGGATGAGGGGGCAACACGTAACCATCGTGCTGATAAAATCCACTCAAGGGCGGAAGATCTCTTGATAATCCTACACTGAGACTCCTTTGACAATATTCCCCTCTACAAGAAATCAAAAACCACTCTTCTACCACTGTCCCTCTATATTTATGGCACTCTTAAATTATAGGCCTACAATGTAAATTAATTATTATTATAAATTATCACAACAGATTAGTTGAGAGATACGATACTACAGATCTTTAACCAAACAATATTATTGAATGTTTTACGTAGATATGAGGTCGATAGTTCAAATATAATATTCTAAGCAATTAAAAAAGATTTATATTAAGTATCGGAGAATGATATAAACACAGGATAAATTCAGGGGTGGTATACAGTCGTAAGATGGTATATGTGTGGTACATGTGTGGTTGTAGTATGAGACTACTAGGACAACGATGAACCCGGTCACTATCAAAAGTGTCCAAGTTTAACGTTGCACGAAAACGACGCACGTTAACAACTGGACGCGGGTCCAGGCAAGGTACATTCACAGATAAGATAGTATATTTGTGATAGGTTGTAGTATGATACTACTACATGGTGTATCTGTGTATCAGGGGACCGGAAAGTGGCAGCAGGTATAGAACGTGGGTCCAGGCAGGGTAAATTCACAGATAAGATGTATATGTGTGATAGGTTGTAGTATGACACTACTGCATGGTGTATCTGTGTATGAGGGGACCGGAGAGTGGTAGCAGGTGTAGAACGTGGGTCCAGGCAGGGTAAATTCACAGATAAGATGTATATGTGTGATAGGTTGTAGTATGACACTACTGCATGATGTATCTGTGTATCAGGGGACCGGAGAGTGGTAGCAGGTGTAGAACGTGGGTCCAGGCAGGGTAAATTCACAGATAAGATGTATATGTGTGATAGGTTGTAGTATGACACTACTGCATGATGTATCTGTGTATGAGGGGACCGGAGAGTGGTAGCAGGTGTAGAACGTGGGTCCAGGCAGGGTAAATTCACAGATAAGATAGTATATTTGTGATAGGTTGTAGTATGATACTACTACATGGTGTATCTGTGTATCAGGGGACCGGAAAGTGGCAGCAGGTATAGAACGTGGGTCCAGGCAGGGTAAATTCACAGATAAGATGTATATGTGTGATAGGTTGTAGTATGTCACTACTGCATGATGTATCTGTGTATGAGGGGACCGGAGAGTGGTAGCAGGTGTAGAACGTGGGTCCAGGCAGGGTAAATTCACAGATAAGATGTATATGTGTGATAGGTTGTAGTATGACACTACTGCATGGTGTATCTGTGTATGAGGGGACCGGAAAGTGGCAGCAGGTATAGAACGTGGGTCCAGGCAGGGTAAATTCACAGATAAGATAGTATATGTGTGATAGGTTGTAGTATGACACTACTGCATGGTGTATCTGTGTATGAGGGGACCGGAAAGTGGCAGCAGGTATAGAACGTGGGTCCAGGCAGGGTAAATTCACAGATAAGATAGTATATGTGTGATAGGTTGTAGTATGACACTACTACATGGTGTATCTGTGTATGAGGGGACCGGAGAGTGGTAGCAGGTGTAGAACGCGGGTCCAGGCAGGGTGGGGCCACCGCGCGATTGATCTGGTATCCAAGCAACACGGAGAACTACTCTTCATGACGTCACTGATGCTGACGTCATATTCTGTTTTCCGTTCAAGCACCGTTAATCTAATGATTGGTTGTTGCGCTTCTTGCTAAGCTTATTTTAGCGTTTTAAATATATTGCATTATCAATATGACTTATACATTTTGTTTTTAAATACTACAACCTACATGCATCGAACTCTATTATTAATAGAGATTGATGCCTACATGTTATCCATATATAAACCCCAAAAGTACCCATGAACTTTTGAGAAAACTAAAAGTCACACCCCCATAAACCATAAACTTAAAATGTTCGTTATGACGAGAAACTTTGCGCAAAACTATCCATTATTTCATAAATTGCCCTTTAAATTCGTAATTCCTTTCTAAAGGGAACTTTCCATATACCTTATGTCAAAAATACCTCAGCTGTACTTATTTTTTGTATTATTGTATTCTTATTTGTTAAAGTCAAACAGGGTGAAACCCGTGGGTAACAGCTCGTCTTTTTTAAGTTTTTTTTTTATAGGTTTTATTTTATACTCACTTTGTGTGTGTTCGACTGGTGATGCTGTACAATCTTTGTCTAAGTGGCAACAAATAATAATAAATATGTAGTGAATTACGTTTTTTTTATAATTTTTGACATGTCTTTGTTGCCTAGAATGGTGTGGTGAAAACTCTAATTTTACGTACTAATATGATATTTTGAATTACCTCAGAGTGATGTCCAAGGTTATAGTTTATTCTGTTATAATAGTTTATGTGCTAAGTTTTGGCTGTGTGAAGGGTGGCAAATCAGTAAGTTATACCAAATGTCTGTTGTAATAGTTTATATGCAGAGTTACAGCCGTGTGAATGGTGGCAAAGCAGTAGGTATACTGTATTTCTGTTGTAATAGTTTATATGCAGAGTGACAGCCGTGTGAATGGTGGCAAAGCAGTAGGTATACTGTATTTCTGTTGTAATAGTTTATATGCAGAGTGACAGCCGTGTGAAGAGTGGAAAAGCAGTAGGTTATACTGTGTTTCTGTTGTAATAGTTTATATGCAGAGTGACAGCCGTGTGAAGGGTGGCAAAGCAGTAGATTATACTGTATTTATGTTGTAATAGTTTATATGCAGAGTGACAGCCGTGTGAAGGGTGGCAAAGCAGTAGGTATACTGTATTTCTGTTGTAATAGTTTATATGCAGAGTGACAGCCGTGTGAAGAGTGGAAAAGCAGTAGGTTATACTGTGTTTCTGTTGTAATAGTTTATATGCAGAGTGACAGCCGTGTGAAGGGTGGCAAAGCAGTAGATTATACTGTATTTATGTTGTAATAGTTTATATGCAGAGTGACAGCCGTGTGAAGGGTGGCAAAGCAGTAGATTATACTGTATTTATGTTGTAATAGTTTATATGCAGAGTGACAGCCGTGTGAAGGGTGGCAAAGCAGTAGATTATACTGTATTTCTATTGTAATAGTTTATATGCAGAGTGACAGCCGTTTGAAGGGTGGCAAAGCAGTAGGTTATACTGTATTTCTGTTGTGATTTACCCCAGCCACTTAGCTCTCGCCCCCACCGCGCTTTTGTGTCTTACGCATTGTCTCTAACCGCGCTCACCACAAGCCCTCTTAAAAGCCTTCTTTTAGTTACTTTAACTACATTTTGAATTTTCCAGAATATCCTCTTAGATCTGCCCGTATATGAAGATAAATCGAATGATATTAAAAAAAAAAAAAACTACATAAATGCAATATTGTGCGTAAATAAACCTTTTTTATAAAGTTATTTAGAACTGACAAGACCAAGATAACAAATGTCAAGTGTAATATAAAGTTTTTAAAATCTATTCACATAATGTAATTGTGATTAGGGCTAATACTATATAAATAATCGAAAGCATTATATTCTAAGTTAGTCTAACATATGACTATATTTATTCCTCTCATTATTTTTGTTTTTGTATTTTTGTATGAAATGCAAACATGAACATGACCTACTCGTAAGTGTTGAAACATGTCGTTTGTTAATTAAAATAAATGTAAAGGGGTACTAATGTATTTTAATATTTATATGTACATATATATATATATATATATATATATATATATATATATAATGCAGAGAAGGATACCGGTACTGTACTTTGTATTGAATTTTCTTTGTCACTACATATACTCTCACCCGTATCTCGATTCGATATAGGCCTATAAGTGAAATGAAAATATATTGATAGTTTTGATTTCATAATACGGCACAACATTTAAGTCTTTTGTAAATCCGTTTATTGCTGTTAGCTGTTTGGTGTTTAGAAAATAAACAGTTAACATTCATACTAAAACTAAAGCCAAATTCACATCAAATTTACTTATTTATCTTATTTAGAAACGTAATTATACTGCAAATATGGTTAAACCCGTCTAAAAATAGGGAGGGAATTCGTTCGTTTTGGGACTGATTGTTGTAGTTTGAACGTATCGAATACATGCCTTGAAACTCACTAAGCGGACTGACCGGATCCTTACGCATGGAGTGTGTTGAAGTAGTTAGTATTGCGGCTGTATTATTAGACAGTTTTACCATAGACTAAGCAAAGGGAGTATGATTTATCTATGGTTTTACTCTTCATCAACAATACACACAACAATACTCTGATGACATGTGGTTTGTCTTGTTACAGATTGTGATGTTTCCGGGAGTCATGGCTGCCCCCAACGGCCTTCTCACCGTGCTCCTGTGTTTTGCTCAAATTTGTTGGTGAGTTTCTTGTAAAATTTATCCAAGATCTCGTAAGTAGTCTATTTATATCGATATAATTAACGCGTTTTGTATTTCCTTGAAAATAAGGAATTTATTTACTAAAACCTCCTTTTAAAAATGGGTTTCGATAATGATGAACATTATGTTAAAGAGATACGCTTAGGTCGTTGCAGTTTATGAGACGAAGATGGTAATTAGATAACTGCAACTCAATCATAACTTTACATTTTCAAGCTTGTATCACCCAATGACATAAAATGCATTAACTTTCAACCGTAATTTATACAGGAAGGGCTACAACATAAAATTATCAAAATTGTTCGGGGCATTTTTGAAAAAATCACTATCAAAAATCAACATTTCAAAAAATGAAAAATTGCCTGGAGATACCATGGATTATTACCTACAAAAGGGATTTTATCAGGTGTATGGTCTGTAGCTCTGTACACGTCTACACATACAGACACCCAGACACACACTCGCACGCACACTCAGACACGCGCGCGCGCGCACGCGGACAGACGTCGCTTCAAGAACCAGTTTTTGGGTTCAGGGAGATCCAAAACGGATATATTCACTCAAGACAAACTCGAAAATTTTGACGAAAACAATACTTTGTGGAGAAAGCACGATTACTAGAAAAATACCGGTATGGATCATAAACATAAACAAATGACGTTTTTGGCCCGAAAATAAACATTATTTAACATTAGTTAAATGGAACTGACAAAACTTATGTTCAATGCTATTAGTATAGGATTCGGGCCATCAACGTCATTTGTTTATGTTTATGATCCATACCGGTATTTTTCTAGTATTCGTGGGAGAAAGTAAAAAGCTTTGATTTGAGCTCAAATGTAAACAAATCATCTGATCAGCTGCTATAAACAGAAGTAATTTAAAAACCATTTATTCCCCCATGTTAACCATAAGGGAGAAAATCCATTTTGATAAAAGATCCTGCCCAAACTAATACAGATTTTAAAAAGTGAAAACCACTTTGCAAAACTACAGATCAGAGCCATGTTTTGACACTTAATCATCAAAATCGGTCTAAAATGAGAGAGGAGTTCTGTTCACAAAAATCGGCTTAGCGTATTACAGTATTATAGGCTAATATACTGTAGATAGTATATTTTATACAATTCCTTTTTAAAATTTTCGTTAAAGTATCATGGCTTCTTGGCAACCTTTAAGGCCAATATTTAAAATATTTAAGTTTCATTTTTAGCTTTTAACAAGAAACTATTTTTTTCAAAATTAGACCCTAACGTAGATTTTTTGTATGAAACTAAGTTATTTCTAAAAATTAAGAGGAATTAATTGGAGCCGTTTAAAAAATCATTGTGCTCGTAAACGTCACTTGTATAGGAATATGAGTAATATAGTATAGGATAAATAAAATTATTAAACTTTTCTTAAATTAGTATAATACATTTTTGCCACCGTTAAATGTATTATGTTTTTGATTCTATAAAGAGTATTATTATTAAAGTGGAGTAAACTTTAATAATACATTTGTACTCGTACATGATGGTAGATAGATTATGATTATATCGTCTGTATATTTTCTAAGTGCTGGCTAATCCTAGTACAGACCTTCAGCTACAACGTCAATTATATACATACAGTAAATACATGATGCATAACATACCATGATCCAGGTAACATCCATAATCCATGATCCATGATCTGCATACATGATGCGATGATGTATAACAACAATCTTAAAAAAAGGTGCAAGTGAGCTTATTTACAGTAATTCGTGCTTTATAATTTAGTTGTATTGTCGCAACAACCCGTAAGTGGATCAGTTAAAGCCAAGAGCTCATTCTGTAAATAACGAGCTTAATAAAATATATTACGGTGAACGAGTAACGTGATAAAACAGCTGTAGCGGATAATTAAACACAACTCAAGAGGTGTCCGCTCGAGAGGGGAGTTGGAGTGGCAAAATATTTTGGGCAAATATCCCACTTTTATTAATTATTACAAGAGTCAAACCCTTCTATAACATGAACCCTCATCTACTTTAAAATATATTTATATTCTGAAGTAAAAGTATATATTATATGAGTAAGTGTATGTAATTTATATTACTTATACGTATATAGGTATACATTACGTGATATTTATAACTGCAAAATACATATGGAATCTGGATATTGATATTATCCTATACTCTAATACGAGCAATGTTTGCTTGTATGTATGTACTAGCTGTACCCGCGGGTTTTGCCCCATTTAACTTTATAAGTGAGCTCGTTCGCATGGCTCAATCACGTCCTGGTTGAAGTTCGTTCGCTACGCTCACTCACCTTTTGGTTGCAAATTAGCTGTTGTCATAAATGTAAAAGAAATAATAGTGCTGCACCCTGTTGGTAATTCTTGTAATTTTTATTCTATTGAACATCATAGAACAGAACCAACTTGTTCAATTGAAACAGCTGTTAAGATTCATTAATTCCATTTAAATATGAGTACTCATAAGGTTAACATGGGAAACTCCAGAGCCACTGGGGCGGAGCCCGAGAGTCCAATCAGAATAAAAACAGCTTAGTTTTCCTATTTAATGCCTAAAGAATCAGTGTACCAAATTTCAGCCTCCTAGGTAAATGGGAAGTAAGAGAATTAGTGATGAGTGAGTGAGTGAGTGAGTGAGTCAGTCAGTCAGTGAGGGCTTTGCCTTATATATATATAGATGCTTGCTTGCACCAAGATCACGAAAACGACTCCGACGATTTTCTTCAAATGTTGTAAATAGATTATTTCTGGCCTAAAAACGTGTTTACTGCAGTTAGAACTGCCAACAAAAATCTAATTACGTAGAAAAATTAAACTGAAAGTCACATTTTTTTAACATTAGTCTTATGGGTTGATAAGCAACTATCTTGGCTGAATTAATTAATCTTGGCTGGTTTACAAGGAAAGAGTAAACAAAAGACTTGCTAGTAGTCTAACCGCAGTCACAGAAAACGTACTACTTATACGCAGTACGAAACGGCACACGGAAGATTTCTCAGGTGCCGTTTGACGTCACTAACTGCTGACGTCACTTTGAGGGAACACCAATACCGCAAGGATACGGTTCTGAGCCATCGGCCTCGGTGGTGCAGTGGATAGCGTTACGGGCTGATAATCTGTATGTTCCGGGTTCGAATCCCGCCGGCGGTACTAACTTTTTATCAACAATTTTTTCATATCAGCAAGTTTGGTTGGTTTGGTTAGGTTATGACAGTTTAATTTTATAATTAAAAAATTATAAAATTGAATTTTAGGCAATTATAATTTTATTTTATGAACAAAACTATTTTTTAGATTAGTAAACATTTAATCGATTTTTCCATTATCAGCACGTTTGGTTAGTTTGGTTAGGTTATGACAGTTTAATTTAATAATAGAAAATTATAAAATTGTCTGTTTCTTCAGACGCAGCAGTTAGTGACGTCAGCAGTTAGTGACGTCAAACGGCACCTGAGAAATCTTCCGTGTGCCCCACCGATCCACAGTATACTAGCAATTTATTACAAAATACAGTACAAAAGTAAAAACATCAGTTGTTACTATTGAGCAAAGATTATACTGAAGATTACTCGATATATTCATCTATTTGTCTATGATACATTGTAGCAGGATTTTTTTTATCTATGGTTGTAGTAAAGGCTAGCAGTGTGGAGTGTGGGAACTGTTAATGCCGATTATATTAAGGTATCTGCAATCCTAAAATGACGAGGGAAGGGAAGTAAACCAGTCCGCGACGTAGGAAGTGGTATAGGAAGTAGAAAAGCTTAGCAGTCCGGAGTGTGGGAACTGATAATGCCGATTAGATTAAGGTATCTGCAATCCTAAAATGTCGCGGGAAGGGAGGGAAACAGGGCCGCGACGTACAGTCCGGAGTGTGGGAACTGTTTATGACGAATAGATAAGGGTATCTACAATCCTAAAATGCTATAGGAAAGGAGGGAAACAGGTACGCGACGTAGGAAGTGGTGAAGGAAGTAGTAAAGACTAGCAGTTCGGAGTGTGGGAACTGTTTATAACGGTTAGATTAAGGTATCTGCAAATCTTATATGCCGTGGGAAGGGAGGGAAACAGGTCCGTGACGTAGGAAGTGGTGAGGGAAGTAGTCAAGGCGTGCTGTGCGGAGTGTGGAAACTGTTTATGACAACTAGATTAATGTATATCTGCAATCCTAAAATACTATGGAAAGGGAGGGAAACAGGTCTGCAACGTAGGAATTGGTGAAGGAAGTCCGGAGTGTGGGAACTGTTAATGACGATTAAATTAAGGTATCTGCAATCCTAAAATGCCATGGGAAGGGAGGGAAACAGGTCCGCGATGTAGAAAGTGGTGAAGGAAGTAGTAAAGGTGAGCAGTCCGGAGTGTGGGAACCGTTAATACCGATTAGAATAAGGTATCTACAATCCTAAAATGCTATGGGAAGGGAGGGAAACAGGTCCTCGACGTAGGAAGTGGCGAAGGAAGTAGTCAAGGTGAGCTGGCCGGAGTGTGGGAACAGTTAATGACGATTAGATTAAGGTATCTACAATCCTAAAATGGTATGGGAAGGGAGGGATACAGGTCCTCGACGTAGGAAGTGGTGAAGGAAGTAGTAATGGCAAGCAGTCTGGAGTGTGGGATCTGTTAATGACGATTAGATTAAGGTATCTACAATCCTAAAATGCTATGGGAAGGGAGGGAAACAGGTCCTGGACGTAGGAAGTGGTGAAGGAAGTAGTAATGGCAAGCAGTCTGGAGTGTGGGATCTGTTAATGAAGATTAGATTAGGGAATCCTAAAATGCCGTTGGAAGGGAGGGAAACAGGTCCGCGACGTAGGAAGTGGTGAAGGAAGTAGTAAAGGTGAGCAGTCTGGAGTGTGGGAACTGTTAGTGGGGATTAGATTAAGGTATCTACAATCCTAAAATGCTGTGTGAAGAGAGGAAAACAGGTCCATGACGTAGGAAATGGTGAAGGAAGTAGTAAGTATAGCAGTGCA